GGCTTGGGGGTTTAGGGGCTTAGGGTTTATTAGGGTTTAGTGTCCAGATACCTAATTAGTTGTTGTTGCGGTGTCCTGCTGACAGTGCCGAAGGGAAACTGTCAGGTCCAAGAAAAGGGGTCAACCGAAAAATCGGCGACACACTGCAATGCAAGAGGCCCAAGAGGGCACCAAAAACGGATGAGGCAACTCACTCTTAAACAGCGAGTTTACTGTTGCCGTTTGCTCTGCGCAGCCTTTTTCAGGCTAAGGGACTTAATCAAGCTGGGCCTAGAAGCCTGGGCACCGAACAGCCCGTAGTAAGCAGGGCTCCTCACTGCAAGCTTATTTCGCATTCATCACGGCCCCTAAGCCCAAAGCCTAAACCCTAAACTCTATGGGCCATGTGTTAGTTGTGGGCTTCTCGCTTCCTGGGTTCCGCCCGCCTTGGGACAATGTTTGGCAAGAGGGGGGGCGACTTCAGTATCCTCACAGCCGTTGTAAGCCGTATGATGACCCTAGCCATGTCAGCTATTTACCCATTTACTAACTCCCCCTGACCCTAAACCCTAATTCTTTAGAGTTCAGGGCCTAAGCCCTCAAGACTGTGGTAGTTTCCATTTTCTTTTTCATTGTTACCAAGTCCCGCTGGAGCATCACATGCGCAAGCTGGCCTGCTGTGTCTCCGCGTTGTTCTGCAACCTGCCAGGCTTCATCACTGCACCAGGCTGCAATAAAAAGTGGGGCTCTTGGAACATCAACAGAACAGTCCTCCGAAAGCTTCTTGCGATGCACAGTATTTACGAGGGATGAGAAAGATTGATGCAGCCTACATGGATGTTGAACACACCCTTTTATGCAAATTCTGGAGGCAATCCAATCCCAGGCTACTTTCGGGCTATGTATTACTGTTAATTAATATTATTATTGCTATTATCGTTATTATTGGAATATTGTTACTGTTATTTCTAAGTGCACAAGCAGAGAGGTAAGGACCTGGCCACATGAGAAATGCTGCAGACACCGTGAAAGCGACAACAAGGTTGAAAGCAACAGCGATGAGGAACATGAGCACGTTCACCTGAGGCTTTCCAAGCAAAATATTGTTTGGGGGGCCTCAATAAGAACAATCTTGGTGGACCCTGCGCAACGGCCCTTTTCTCTGCATGTGACGCTCTGCAAATCTGCATACCACCACATCAAGAGCAGAAACAATCAACAGTTTTCATCCTTACGGCATCAGACACCACCAAATTGACACTCCAGGTTTACTCTCGGCAACATTTCCCAAAAAACAACATGGCACGCACCATAACTGCAAAAAATTGAAAGATTCTACTGATTCACAATCATGTTCTGAATTTTGAGGATGCGAATCTATCGGGGTCCTCCTTTGGCCCCCATTTTGCAAAAGCCCTCAGTTTGTGTATGGCCTGGGTGAAGCTGAGAGCGGCAGGAGCCCAACCATTCGTACCCTTGGTGAGGACCACCGGCCGGCCCTTGTGAGGAACCTCAGCGGTCAGCTCCCCTAGCATCCCCCTTAGTAACCCCCATAATAGGAACGCAATAATCTATAAACTCCTAGCATCCCCCTTAGTACCCCCTAGACCCTCTACAATACCCTATATAGCCCACTTGAAGGAGTTGAGACCATAGCTCATGTGGAGTTCTACAGGTTATACATAGGGGGAGACTACTACGGATTTCTTGAGGTTTGAAGGCTTTGGGATGTGTAGCTCATAGTTGGGCTGTTCTCAAAATCATGAGCACAGTCTGGGTGCCAATGCAAGTACAGCACCTGTAGCCATTAATGCTGCGCATAGTACTTGGGGTCGTAAATACTGTACATAGTACTTGCGGCTACAACCCTAAACCCTAAACTCTAGACCCTAGACCCCAAAGCCTATAAACCCTAAACCACTAACCCTAAACCCTAAACCCTCCGACCCTCATTTTGACAGCTACCCATTGCTCCTCAAGCAAGGAAGGAGCCAAAGCAAACGCTGATGTCCGCCTGCCCTTGCAGGATTACGCGATACCAACATATCACTTTGATTTGCAAGGATCTCCTGGATCCCCAGGGTAGGTAAAACCATGGCCCAAAACCCCTAAAAGTAGCACAAAAGGCCATTGTTCTACACCCTAAACCCTAAACCCTGAACCCTAAACCCTAGGTTCATCTTTTCCATGTCCGTGGTGTAACCAACCGCCAAGGCACCCAGGCCACGGTGGCACTCGGGGCTTCCGCCTCAGGTTTAGGGTTTAGGGTTTAGGGTTCAGGGTTTAGGATGCAATGCCAAGCGATTGCTATGACCAGAGGTAGAGTAGAGATAGGACGAGAAGTACCCCTAAACCCTCAACCCCCTAGAGGATCCCAAAAAAGGAACGCCCCGCAAAATTACACCAGTACTACATCGTGGAAACTACGGGATTATTGGGAGGCTCAATGCTTTGGATCCTTTAGGGAGTCTGGGCAGGATTTCCATGATCGCGGCAGCTGCATCAGGACACTCCTAGTAATTGTACCCCTAATTCGGGTTGTAGGGCTCTCATAATAGCGGGTACTTAGGCGTAAATAGAGGGTAGTTGGAGGGGCTAGGTGGAAACCGTGTTTGTGTCTCCTTGACTGCACAGATTCAACTCCTCAATTTCTGTCGAAGTCGAATGCGGGTTCCTCAAAAATAGGGGTCCCTTTATGGGGGTCCCTAAAATATGGATTATAGAATTTAGGGGGATCCCCAATTGAGGGAACCTACCAAATGCAGGCCTTCTGGAAGAACGGCAAAAGCAGCTGGAACTCCTTGTCCAGGACCCCTTCCAGTCTCCGCTTGGTGTGGTTTGCGACTTGTGGGACATGCTGCAAGGGCCATGCTCCTCAAAGCGGGAGATTCCATTAAAACAAAAAAAAAAACGTGTTTTGCGCGTGTGTGTTTTTGGTATATACTACATGTAGAGACATACTTACATCTACACTACCCCCCCCCCTCTCCAATTCCCAGTGAGCACTCATACTCCGAGGCTCCTAGGCCCATGGGGTGGATGTGGACCTCCTTCACAATTGGCCGCAGCGTACCGGCAGACAGTAGAACATACCATTGCAGCGGCACTGTGAGGAACGCCTCTGAAGAAAGGACTTCCCAACTCCTAGGTTGCTGTTAAGGGACTTAAATTAAGTTACTATATTGGGGAAGCCCTATTATTTAATATATATATATATACCCATTATGGTAACTTAATTTAAGTTCCTTAACAGCAACCCAGACTCCCTTGGGGCAAGTCTGGGCCATTGACGTGGACTCGGGCCACCCAAGGTGCAGCGCCCTGGGCACGAAGCTTCATCCAGTCTACCAGGTCCTCGAGCTGTTCCTGGGTTGCTGTCAAGGAACTTAAATTAAGTCACCATAATGGGTATACATAGTAAATAATAGGGGTTTCCCAATATAGTAACTTAATTTAAGTTCCTTAACAGCAACACGGGTTCTTTGGAATCGGAGAAGAGATGGGGCTTTTCTTGCGAAGCACCGCGTGTGACTTCCAGGCCTTCTTTTTTGGAGTCGGTGCCCGCCTGAAAATAGCCCGCAGCTTCGGTGATGGCGTTGAAGGTAATGGTGCCCTTCGTGCCGGCGGATTCCCCGGAATATGTGAGGTCGTACCTTCGATGGCATGGCGACCAGACAGACAGAAAACCAATACAGGAGGGGGCTGCAAAACAGTGACCTCTTCTTCGTTCCCATACGCAAAGGGCCCATGTAGATAGCTGTGTAGTAACGTGGTCTCCCAAGTAGTTACATATGAGAACACCTGTGGACGATATGAGACATGGACCCCTTGGGATATCAGAGGATGGGGGCCGCAGATAAGACAGGAACGGGAGTTTCGTGAATTACCATCCTCAACAAGACGCCCAGAAAGGTGCTTGTCTAACAAAGCGTACATTTTCCCGGCTTCGATTATACCCTTCTCGAAACCCTAAGTCCTAAGCGGCACTACGAGACTACAGGAGGTGAGAGGGAACTGTAGCGTAGGGTGGGCTCATCCCTTCCCCCTAGTATTAACCACCCCCCCCACACAACTTTCCGTTTCCACCGGAACCTTACACGTCAAACCAGGTTTACGGCTTAGGTTTAGGGTTTAGGGATGTAGGGGGCTGTAGGACTCAAAGTCAAGTCTAATCCCAAGGCACCCTTGAGCTGTCTCCGAAATCGCATCGCCACAAAGCACGGAGTTTGCTTTCGCGTCGCCCGACAAATTCACGGACACATCGGCTGGGATCTGGGCAAAAACATTCACTTTGTTCGCCTGCGCAAGGGGAAGCTGTACCCACCGACCCAACGCTGAACCATTCAAGTATCATTATCCAGTCCGAGTTGAGAGCAAGTGCTTTCTGGTAGCCATGCGCTTATATGGCTAGTTCAGAAATTGCTGTTTGCCCCCTCATAGCTGGCAGACCCGTCTCGTCAGGCTGAGACAGCTCAATGCCCAACAGGGTTGGAGTTGAAGGTCTAGGGGTGTTGTATTTTTGGACCCTATTTGGTAAGTAGGTTACAAAGGGGGTTATAAGCAGGCCAACCCCAATCAATGAGAAGACTTATAACCCCACACAACCTTACCAAGTTGAGGCTTCAAGTACTGATATCGGACCGGAAATTCCCAGGTGAGCTAAACCCTATATAACCCTCTATATAACCCCCAAGGAAGGAGTTTAGACCCTAAACCCTAAATAAAGAGGGTCATATAATCCCCCATATAACCCCCCTTTGAAGAGGAGCTCAGACAGTATAACCCCAAAACCCTAAACCCTAAATAGTAGTTTCCATTTTCTTTTCCATTATCCCACTATAACCCCTATATAACCCCTATATAAGCCCTATATAACCCCATATAAACCCTTAACCCCAAACCCTGCAACCCTACAACCCTAAACCCCAAACCCTAAAACCCCAAAATCCTAAACCCCAATCCCCAAAACACCAAAACCCTAAACCCTGAAACACCCCTAGACACTGTAGCTCAGGTGACTGTACATTTTTTGGGCCTGGAGAGTCACATCCCACTCCTCCTCACATGACTTTGGGTGGATGGCAACCATTCCCTGCCAGCCTCGGAGAGTTTAGGGTTTAGGGTTTAGGGTGTCAGATGTCTTCAGCCGCCAAACCAAGGACACAGTTTCTGACTGGGGGTTAGTAGGGGATAAGGCGATGTACTGTGTGGGAGGGCTGTAGGGATTATAGTCCCTTATTCCCTACTGAGGACGAGTAAGGTTTCGGGGTTGCAGCTGCAGTACACGCAAAAACAAATGACAATAATTCCAATCGCATTACCGCTGTGCTCACCTCTCTCTCTCTCTCTCGCAGACTCGAAACGTCAGCTCGAAACTAGAACCTAAAAAAGCCCCCGCAACCTACTCACAGGGCGCCTACTCACAGGGCGAGCCAGGCAAATCGAGCTCTACATGCATGTAACAAACTTTTGCACGCCCTGGACCATGCGCCTACGCGAAGCAGTCTGCGAAGCAAAGCCTATGACATCCGATAATCATGAAATTGCATGTCATTCCAAGCACAAAGCATGCCATGCTGAGCGTCAGGCTGTGCAATGTGAGCTTCTTTGGCAGAGCTACCACTTGCACAGAAACCTGCTGCGATGTCAAGTTGACCTGCCCAGAGCTCACGGGAACTTTGGTGATAGTATCCTACTCAAACATGCAACCACAAGTATGGAAGCGCCCAACAAAGGACTGTGAAGATTATTGCCCTTTGAAACGGGGTTGTATGTGGTTCCGTGCTAGCTTGGTTGGTGGTAGCCTTTGTGGCGTGGCCGTCTAACAGCAACTTCCCCCATACCATCCAATCATTGATGGTCCAACCAGCGATCCTAGTATCAATTCTCAGGTCGGTGATGCAACCTCATCCTACAAATAGGTGGGAGGAGTTGGAGAGTTGGGGATCAGGGCTTAGGGATTACATAGGGTTTAAGGCTATTACCCGACTAATGGAGAACCAAATGAAAACGAGGCCTAGCCTAACTAGGCCTATCTGGGGGGTTGCATAGGGATGTATAGGCAATGGTTAAACCAAATGCAAAACACTATCCGCTTGCTTCTAGTTAGCGGAGAAAGAAGCAACGGATCCTTATAGCAGTCCCTATGTAATCCCCTATAGCACGGTACTTTCCATCTTCTTTTCCCCAGTCCTTAAACCTAAACCCAAGATAGCAGTTTTCATTTTCTTGCCCATTCCTGCATTCCAGTTCATTCCCGTTAGCCAGCATTTGATGCCGTCCCAGTCTGGAATTTTGCATGAAAGAGACTGCACGAAATCGCATGGGATCGCACGCAAAAGGTGTTCATGCAGTACGAAAGACTCGCGAAATCGCACGATGCAGATCAGATTAGTGCAGACCACATTAAGAGATTTCCGATGCTAACCAGTCGCATCCCAAGAGCTTGGGACTTAACCCTGAAGACTGAACCCTCAACCCTGAACACCCTGAACCCCCAATCTCTATGCCCAGACCTCAACTTAGGGTTGATAGGCTTTAGGGCTATAGGGTTTGTGGCGGTTGAGGGTTTAGGGTTTAGGGCTTTTGCACCTTTAGGGGGATCAACCCCAAATTCAACTCCAACAAATTCTATTGGAAGGTTCACGGCACTTAGTGACTAATTGTAACTGGGCTCAAGTCCAGTTGGGGGGGTTATAAGTAAGGTCATAAGACCAGGCACTACTAAATATTTACTAAATTGCATGAACCTTCAAGTAGCGTTGATCCCTGAAGCCTCCTGCGCAAGGGCTTCGGACATCATCAGCCGACAGTGCTCGCTACCGCCCACATGACCAGAAAGACGTTCGAGCTTTCCCTGACCAGGCTGTTCTTTGGGGCTGCTGTAAAGGACCTTAATTTAGGGTACCATATTAGGGGTAGATAAATAGGGGGGTTCCCCAGCTAAGGAAGTTTATTTAAGGTATAATGAGTAAAGGCGGTTCCATACTTAAGGAACTTAATTTAAGGTACCATATTATTCTGGGTATATCATGACTTATGGGCAGTATAGTTGCTGAAAAGCAGTTCCTTAGCAGCACCCCAGTCTTTTGCGGATTTAGGGCGTGGCCCCACATGAGCTACAGTCAAAATTTCCTACATATGTTAATGGACATGGGTTCCCTATTCGGGACTACATATGGAACTATACTAAACTACAGGAGGGACCTCAATGTCCACTGTTAAGGGTCCCTTAATTTGGCGAATATTGACAGTAGCTCATATAGCGGATTTGTAGGGAATACGCATGCGTGTTGCTTGTTTGGTCTGTGCATGCAGGATCTAGCTAGGTCCGCTAGGTAGCCTTCCGGTTAGCTAGGGTGGAACATTCAGGGTAGCTAGCCCCTCAAAGGAAGAAAAGGCGGACTGAGACAGGATACAACCTAGCGTAACCTGCTAAGTCCCTCAACATGTAACAAAGCACTCCGGCCGGAAGTGAGGACGACACAAGCTACAATATGCTGCAAACAAATCCTAACCCCGTTCCTTGGGCCTGCAGGATCTCACAACTCTACAAGAACCCTCGACATGGGAATCAAGCCCGAAACTCTAAACCTTAAAACCTAAAAGTTCAAAACTCCCATGGTTTTGTGCTCCCGAAATCTTGCGAACCCAATCAGGCTCAACTAGGTTCAGGGCTTAGGAGACCCCTCGTGCTAAGTAGAATACGTGTTAGGTTCGGCCCCCGCCCACTTTAGGTGACCACCAGGGATTATACATTAACTTCCTAGTATGCCACTATGAGCAAGTGAGGGCTCATTCATCAAGGTCTGGGGGAAGGGGTTCATGATAGGAAACGTCACAGTGAATCTATACCCGAAACCCTTTTTTTGAGGCACGGACTGGGACTGAGGCCGGCACTTCTGAGGCTGTTGAAAGCAACTGTCAATTCTCACGACACGCACAGCTCGTCCCGAAACCCTAAACCCCTAATCCCTAAAGCCCTGACTACGCCTCGTTCTCTACAAGTAGCAAGTACCAGTTGCACTAGACT